ATTGTATCCCACCGACATCCGTACTGGCCAGATTGTTATTGATCCACGTTGATTGACAACCGGAACTTAACACTGGTCGGGAGTGTACCAGTGGTACTGATGAGACGGGATTCATTATAGCTTTGAAGCTGCGTGTAAGCTGCTATCAGGACGTGTTTCCTTCCCAATCCGAACAGTTGCTTTGTAGTATTTCATAAAACTTAAAATGTTACTTGGGTGAGAAATGAGGATTTTCAACCTTGATTTTACACGAACAAAGTGTCAAACATATTGCACTTCACTTACCGAACCCTGAATATGACTTTCCCGTAACCACCACACCATAAAATGAATCAGTTAACTCTACCACTTCCAACAAGATTCGCTAAAAATACAACATACCGAAAATTAGCATGTACCACTTCGGTGCCAAGATTGAAAATAGTGGGCATGAGCGATCAGTTTTCCTCCTATGTCTTTATTGACTACTTAAAAAGTCAAAATGAAGACATCGCTATTAATGATGTAAAAGTAGTGAACATGTTTGAAAATCCACGCTTCACTTATAACAAGTTTAGTGTTGTAATTGAAGTCGATGTCGATACTTATAAATGTTTGTTATGTGCGAAAAAAGTAAATGTAGGGTTTGATCGGTGCTCGATAGTTCCCGCGATTAATGTGTTGAGATGCTTCAAATGTGAAGAATTTGGGCACAAGAGCATGGATTGCAAAAATTGTGATAGATGCTCTAGGTGCAGCCAACAACACAAAACGCCGGAGTGTACGTCAACTGTATTGAAATGTATTAATTGTTTGAAAATGAATAAAGAACGAAAAATGAACTTGGACGTCAACCATGCCGCATTTAGCTCGGAATGTTTGCTCTATAAAAGACTTTTTGATCAGAAGAAAAGCAGCTTGCGTTTCAATAAATAGCAGCCAAGTTCCAGGAATGTGAATCAATACGATTTTTTATACTTGAATATTGCGGGGTTGTCAACAAACTACGTAGCATTACGTCAGATTGTTGAGGATAAACGTCCTATTTTAGTTTTATTATCTGAAATTCATATTGTAGAAACTGAAGCTTTTGATCAGTGTAGTATTCCGGGATATATTGTTGCTGCTTGTTTATCACATTCTAGGCACACTGGCGGTGTTGCTATTTATGTCAAAGAATCAGTTCAATTCAACCTTCGTACCAACGAAGTTATTGATGGCAACTGGTTCTTGGGCATTTCAGTTGTACGTGGCATGAAGATGGATAATTATGGTGTTTTGTATCATTCTCCCAGTTCTAGTGACCAGCGTTTTGTTGAAGTTTTAGAGAACTGGCTCGAGACATTCCTTGATTCTAGTAAATTAAATATATTGGCTGGTGATTTTAATATTAATTGGCGTGATAACCATAATTCGAATCATTTGAAGCGTTTAGCTGAGTTTTTTTTAATTTAAAGCAAACGGTAAATGAATATACGCGTATTTCCAGGCACAGTAGAACTTTAATTGACCACGTTTATTCCAATTTTGATTCCGTTTGTTCAGTTACGGATACTGATTTGAAAATAACCGATCATGAGACTTTAGTGATTAATGTCTTAGACCATGTTAACGATAACGATAATTTTGTAAAATTGAAGTGCTGAAGGAAATATTCGATACAGGCTGTTTCTAATCTTGTTGAGAGAAGCCTGGATTTTCCATTCGCGGCCGGTAACTTAGATGAATCTACAGCTGTTCTTAATAACGCTTTGAAAACGTGTACCAATCAACTAGTTGAGCAAAAGTTTGTTTCTTTGAAAAACTCGAACAGCTGGTACAATTTGGATCTTTTGCGCCTTAAACGGAAAAGGAACAAATTGTACAAAAAGTTTTGTAGATCTAATAATGACAATCATTGGACTAGGTACACAATCGCGCGTAATAAGTATTCACAATCGATAAAGAAAACTCGTTGTGAATATGTTCAAATGAAGATTGATCAGCATCAAAACAACAGAAAAGAGTTCTGGAAAATTTTGAAATCTTTATTAAAACCTAGTAATTGCAAACCGCGGTCCATAACTTTTAATGGCACATTAGAACAGTCAGAACAAGTAATTGCAGCTAAGTTTAATGATTATTTCGTAGATAGCGTTTAATTGATTAATCAATCTATTGAATTGGTCGATGAACCTGACGAAATAAAACAGCCAGTTAATAGTAGTTGCATATTTGAAGTTTTTCACCCAATTACATTAGATGAACTTAGAGTTATTTGTTTTTCATTAGGAAAATTGGCTGGAGTAGATAATGTTAATGCTAGAGTTATTCAAGATTGCTTTCATGTCATTGGCCAAATCTTTCTGGACCTTATTAATGAATCATAGCAGAATGGACATGTGCCACAAATTTGGAAGGAATCCTTAGTGATTCCTATTCAAAAAGTTGCTGGAACGATTAAAGCAGAAGAGTTTCGTCCCATCAACATGTTGCACACATTAGAGAAAATCTTAGAACTTGTTGTTAAAGGCCAGCTGTTGGAGTATTTGAATAGCAACTCTTTGTTGATACCAGAACAATCGGGATATCGGAAAGGTCATTCTTGTGAAACTGCATTGAATTTGGTGTTAGCAAAGTGAAAAGACAACTTGGAGCGTAAAGATACGATTGTTGCTGTTTTTTTGGATCTTAAACGCGCTTTTGAAACAATTTCTAGGCCCTTACTGTTAAGTACAATCAAGCGCTTTGGAATTACGAGTACTGCATATAAATGGTTTGAAAGCTATTTGTCTGACAGAACTCAACGGACTGTTTTTAATGATTCTGTTTCCAGTCCCGTGGGGAACAACCTTGGAGTGCCCCAGGGAAGTGTATTAGGGCCCCTTTTCTTTATTATGTATATTAATGACTTGCGACGTGTTTTACGGTTTTGCGACATTAATCATTTTGCAGATGATACTGTGTTATTCATTGCAGCTAAGGATTTAGAAGTTGCCGTCTCACACTTGAATGAAGATTTGCAGTATCTAAGTAGATGGTTGAAGTGAAAGCAGTTAAAAGTGAATACAAATAAAACTAAATTTATGGTAATTTCGCGGAATCGATTAAATGAGAACGTCTCTGTTGTAATTGATGATGAGACTATCGATCGCGTTCAGGGGATTAAATATCTTGGCGTAATAATTGATGACACACTTAAGTTCAACTCTCACATTGACAATGTCATCAAGAAAATTGCCAAGAAGTATGGAAGTCTATGTCGATTGAAAAACGATTTAACTATTGCCAGTAAAATACAGCTATACAAATCAATCATCTCTCATCATCTAGACTTTTGCCCATCCATTTTATTTCTGTCCAATGCAACACAAATATCGAGATTACAGCGCTTGCAGAATAAAATAATGCGTTTGATTTTGAGATGTAATAGATTCACTTCCTCAACTTTGATGCTAGACGCCTTACAATGGTTGTCGGTGAAGCAAAGAATTGTATATTTGACTATGGTGTTCATTTTTAAAGTAGTTAACGGTTTGCTGCCTCGATATTTGTGTGATCGAATTGAAAGAGGAAGTGACTTTCATAGATATAATACTAGAAACGCGGTTGAAATAAGAACACCACATTTCTTGACTTGTGCTTCACAGAATTCATTATTTTTTAAAGGAATAAATATTTTCAATTGGATGCCTAGACACATTAAACGTTCAACAACATTAGCAGAATTTAAGAGACATTGCATTTCACACGTTTAAACTGTCTTTTGAACGGTTATCCAGTGATTTTTTTTTATGAATTGACAAATTATGTATCTTGACGAAGTTATTTTTAACGGATTATTTTGTATGGATAGCTGTTAAAACGACTTTTTAATAATTTTTGTAGCACTGCAAAAACTATTTTGTTCGCCACGATGGTGATGATGGATTTTTGATATTTGATTTAATAGTAGTAGTAAAAAAAATAGTAGTCTACAAAGGTTTGAGCCTCGCGCGCGTTTTACGGATATAGAGGACTGAATTTAACATTTGTTAAAAAAATGCAATTTTGAAGCTTATTTGAAAGATACCTTGAGTTAGTAGTAAGTTTTCTGGCAAATGTTAGGGGTTCGTGAGCATTCCTGACATTGCTGAAAATTATGATAGCATCATATTGCGGGGTTGCTAGTGTAATAGGATGCTTTGTTGATAGTTCATTAACTCTTGATTGCTTGTAATACTTATGAATATTTTAGGTGGACAAAAAGGCGAACTAAGAGGTGGACGCCTGAGCTTTTCCACATTTATATCGCTGTGAAGCAACTGTAAACTCTAGAGGAAATTTATATCTGTAACTGAAACCAGTTCGATTTTGTTTGCCAACCTGGTTAAAATGTCATATTTAATTATCTTAAAGATAAATCGTCCAGCTCAAACCTTTGTAGGGGTAAGAGGTGGGACCCAGTATGACTGGCTGCTTTTGAACGTCCATTCTTCTCCGTAGATTCCAACTTCAGCGGGCCGTTCAAATAAAAGTAAAACTAGGTTATCAGCTACCCTTAAACTGCATCAATCCCCTTTTATAATCATTCAACAGTTCAGCGCATAATCGTTTACCAAACGGCAGCTAGAAGTATAGTAGTACCAGCATTCTAGCCACCAATCAATGTAATAAACCTAACCGCAGAAACCACACTCTAGCATTGGGTCATAAAGTAACTGTTTGATATTGGAGGATAATTTTAGAATGTCACCCGTTGTCAATGCTCCTAAGCGCGATCCAACCAGTAATCACCACACGAACTCCGTCTGTCACGTCCGGTTCCTGTCACCAAAATCAAAAAACCTGGATGTGGGTTCGACATAAAACTGCACCCTAACGGTTCACCTGTCAGTATAACACGGTATCACAGTGGTTATCGAAATTACTATATGGGAAAAATTGCTTCACCGAAACAAAAACCACAAACCGGTTGAAGCTGGGTTTCGTAAACTGATTGCTTTTTTTTTTTGCGTTTCACACAGCCAACATATTTATAATTGGAACAGCTGATAACTTACCGAAGTTTGCAATGATTTGCAGCAGAATGCCGATGCTGATGAGCCTCCGGAAAACGAAAATTCCACCGATCCGCATGTTGTCCAATAAACCGCTACTCACCGAACACCACATGTTTGTTCACTGTTTATGTTCCGAAACGCACTCTCGTTAACTTTAATTTCCCCAACAAATATTCTCACGTCACTCACGCACTTTCCGTGTTGAATTGTCGGTTCACACCCTGTTCACACTTTTCCCATAATGATTAGCCGAGCCGTCGGTTGTCGTTGTCTTTTTCTTCGTCGTAAAGATTTACTTGTTTCCACATTAATTTTTAATTGCCCACTCGAGCTCAGCTGGCGTCCTCCTCCACCACTATACCGGCATCGTCATACATTGCCTAGTTCTAAAACTATAACTTGCTGGAACTACTGTTTAATTGCACCGAGATTTTTATAGATTCTCCCTGAGTAAACAAATCTTCCGCACGTATTGGTCGCTTCCCAAACGTTATGAACGCTGTCCCCGTCCAAAAGTGAGTCTCTGTTTATGTTTACATGCTCTCCGGGCGCACCCACCGCACTCTCGGAAGCTAATTTTATTATTTTTATTTCCTCGTCGCCACTATTAGGGTCTATCCCGGGCCGACATATGCACGCATACGGCACACTTTCCAGAGGTCTTTGGCTTTTCCCCAGCAGCACTTGTGTTCCGTATCTTGGTGTGCTCTCGTTGCGCGTTTCACTGTGTGGCCTCCAACTTTATGACATTATTCACACTGACGGGTTTCGGTGGATTCATAAATATTTTTTTAATTATGCTTTTTGAAACAGTCTTTTTTTTTTACTCTCTTCGTCTTTCTTCTTGAGGCTGCTCCAGTTGTGCTCAACCGACATGCTTCATGGAGAGATGACAGCTATTATGCATTGCTGACGTGACGTGTGATGCGGTGATGCGCGTCGACTTGGAAGGATGTCTGCTGCTCTCAGGAAGGCTGAATAAACATATTTCTGAAAGTAAATGGAACAGGGAGAGAGAGAGAGAGGAAGCGATAAGAAACGTTAGAAGGGACGATTGTTTTTGTGTTCATGTTTTTGTTCTATTCTGAATTGATTTACTGTTTGCTGTCATCGGATTGCTGATGAAATAATGATTAGAACAACACTTTTTATCTCATCGGTCTATAATCCCGACCTAGGTTTTATATCAACCGCATTTCTATCTGCTGAACGTTCGGTAGTTTATTCGGTAGGAACAAATGAGCTTTCGTTAAATTTTACTTTCCCACAATCTGTCAAACAATCTAAAAAAAAAAAAATCTCGGTTGACAACTTAATTCTAGCAGGAATAACCAAACATCGGTTTACTCAAATATTGTCGAACGCTGTTGCAATTACGGAATTCGGTTCTTTTTGGCGACGGTCGGATTTCACTGAAAATATTACGTTGCTTTGAATTTCTTGAAATAAACCAGTATTGTAAATTAATGATATGCATTATGTATTATGACCTGCATTATATTTATATATAATATATATCTTAACCAGTCCTGGCCGGATTTGCATTGGAGGAGCTATCGGACGTCTTGTATTTTTCTTCTTCTCATCTGGTGCGAGCCAATTGACAACTCAGTTGAGGTCTAGTCTGCCTGACTATTTGCCCTGTGAATATTTTTTTTTTATATCTAGTTTATTTATTTTGAAGGCTCAATCGCATTAGCTTTACGGAGCCGATAATTCATTGTTGATTGTTTGTAACATAATTAACTTATTTCTATGTCTAGTAGGAGTTGAGCCGAATACTCGCGGCTTACCCGAAATTAGAGGGGTACATTGTCGAAGGATAGGATTAGGGGAAGAGCTTGGGGGCGGGGTTTCGTTGTCTCATCAGAGCGTTGTCGCCAGTATAAACGGTAGTGCGGTTCTAGTTTCGTCTGGAATTCGACCGGCTATGGTGACCAGCGGGTGACGATGAGACTCATCGAGACGGTGGTACGAGGTAAACACAAACTAATGAAGAGAGACAAAAAACAAACGAATTAAATTCTTATACTAGACATCTGCATAACACGTCTCTGATAGAGATATATGGTTGTCTTCCTTGTCATTATCCGTACAATGCCAAACTGCGTGATCTATGTCATCGTAACTGTTTCCGCACCGACAGATGTTGCTGTCTACGAAGTGTATTCTATGGAGATGCACGTTTAGCGGGTAGTGGTTGGACATACAGGGGTTACTCAAAATAACTAGGATAGGCAAATTTTTGGTCAACTTTGGAGTGTTGTAACTTCGTCAAATATGATCTGATTTTAAATCTTCCAAGAGCATTTGACTCGAAAACTAATATTGTTCTACGGTGTAGCCACGAAAATAATCTTGGTCAACGGATACCGGAGATATTCCGGGTTTCCGAATGGCTTGTTTAACTTGCTAAATTTTTGGTGAAATTTTATATATGATGCTGGTTAAATATATATATTTTTAGTAAATACAACGAAAGAAGAACCATTTCTAAAGCGAATCATATGCCAAGAACTTAAATCGGCCTACAATCAACTGAGATATGGCCATTTCCCTGGAATCGGTTCTGGTGAAGGGTTCTGAATGCGGGCAAATCATTTATTCACTCAAAACATGCCGTGCGACAGCTCTTTCTTCATGGTTTCTCGTCAATAGACTTTCGATAAACTTTAAATGCATCATTGACCACATTGGCCACTCTCGGAACATCCAGTATGCCCCCGGGGGAACCTGCAGCAGGGGACAATTGCGTTTTTACTCAAAAACATGCCGTGTGACAGCTCTTTCTTCATGGATTTTCATGAATATGCTTTCTATAGAATTGAAGTGGATCATTGGCCACATTGACCTTTTCAGAGTCACTGGAATGCCCTGGGGGGAACCTCCAGACAACGTAAACAAGTCTGTTTCAATTAATTATAACACAACGTAGAAAATCGGGTCCTACCGTGCGCGATCATATGGTAATGTTTCGTCCAGTTTCGTCCAGGATAATGTTACCCTACGTTGTCTTTTAATTTGGTCTTCTTTCGGCTCAGGTTGACACACCGGTTACTATGCCCCGAGAGGCAACTTGCCTGCTCGGGGACTCAAAACGAACTATATATTTCACAATATTCTTTGGTTTAAATATACAAAAATCACAATAAGGTATTTCATCACATCCAATTACAATCAAAACAATAACAACAAAAAATGACCAAAACAAAAACATCCACGTCTATAGTGTGAAAAGTGATGGCTGCACCATACTGCAATTCGCAAATCCGGCAAAATGACGCAGCGGTCCGATAAAATGACGCAGGTTATACAGCGGGATGCGGGTGATCCAACAGGGACGTAGAGGGTCCGACGTAGACGCTGGGGTTCAACATACGACTCTAGGCATCCGACATGGACAATGGCAGCCCCGCAGTAATGCTGCTCTCCAAAAAGGGAAAGGATATCTAACGGAAATTATCTGCAATCCGACGGGAACAATGGCACTTTCCAATTAAATGCAAATGGCGCACTACTCCGGTATTCAGCATGGAGCAATAACGAATCCTCCATCGGCGGTATCAGCGAGCCGTCTCCGAGCACCAATGTCAATCCTGGTCACGGCACCAATGGTTCGTCCAGGATAATGTTACCCTACGTTGTCTTTTAATTTGGTCTTCTTTCGGCACCCCTGTCTACTCATCACGCGAATGAAGTCACGACTTAAGTCAAAGCCTTTAAAACAGGCTCTCGAAGAAACATTAGGAATAATTGAAGGTAACCACCGTCCAAGATTTTCATTGTCCCAATCGGTTTGCCAACTCGAAAGAGTACTCTGACCAGCAAACAATCAAATTCATTCTGCTGACGCAGCGAGAACTGCGCCAATATGGAATTCATTATGCATCTCTACACGATTTCCACGATGTTGGGTAAGAGGGTTGGGTTTGCAGCAGGGTTTGTTTTGGTAAACGATAAGCTGAATTGATGTCCTAACGATCATATAACGATAAGGAGCTTGGGATAGAACCCACGGTCTTCTGCTCAGGACGCCAAAACGTTTGACACTAGGCGAACGAGCTCCGTTTTAATCATCAAGTTGCTGTTATTTCCATATATATTAACAAATAAAATAATTGGCAAATATCTAACGTACGTCATATATCATCAAAACTAATTTTTGTCCGTACTGTTCAGCCTGAATTATATCAGCCATGTTTTTTTTTTTTTCATTAGATTCAGGCTTGGCTTGGGTTTTTTACAGATTAATTCAGGCTTGGATGCTAACTCATGATCTTCTGCTCAGTAAGCAAAAACGGTTATTCTAAAGCCACCGTGCCATTTACACCACACCAAGCTTATACCGACGATATATCAAGCCCGGGTAAAAATCAATTCAAATAAAATGACGCCCCCGAAAACAGTTAACAATGTTTTTCAAACCGGATAAAGCAATTTAATATCCTTTTTACTTTTTCCGAACCGTTCCGCCCGGGTTCTATCTGATACAATCTTCTACAGATTTTAACATGCTTTCCCAACAAGACTCAAACATGTGTATGAACCTGGGTCGAGAAAAAGTCATAATCTACCGAAAATATAGCTTTGGAGTCAAAATTCCTGAAGTGGACCACTGATTTTTCACAAATCATTGGATTCCGTTCAAAATACGTCTATATATTGCTCTTACCACGACAAACAATAACCCAAAATATTTCGGCAAAATGCGCATTTAAACAAAAGTTATAAACAATTAAGTTTTTTGGACCCTTTTTCGAAAAAAAAATCTTATCTCTAGATCGGGCCAATGAATTTATCTCCAGTTTTGATATAATCACAAGAAGACATGTTTCTTCCAAAATCACTAAAATTTATTCATCAAAAATGTAATTTGTTTATAATAATTACAATTTTTTATAAACAAATGCAATTTTTTTGGTGTTCCCCGCACGATACAAGATTGATTTTTTTTTTAGAATTGTTCCTTGACTTTTTTCCCATACAGAACCGTTTCAACATTTTTGTCACCAGTATTGGGAGCCGAGTTATAGCAATTTTTGTAACGCGCTGCACCAAGCGCACGGCGCCGCGTCGCGCCGCAATCTTGTATCGCGCGGGGAACACCAAAAAAATTGCATTTGTTTATAAAAAATTGTAATTATTATAAACAAATTACATTTTTGATGAATAAATTTTAGTGATTTTGGAAGAAACATGTCTTCTTGTGATTATATCAAAACTGGAGAAAAATTCATTGGCCCGATCTAGAGATAAGATTTTTTTTCGAAAAAGGGTCCAAAAAACTTAATTGTTTATAACTTTTGTTTAAATGCGAATTTTGCCGAAATATTTTGGGTTATTGTTTGTCGTGGTAAGAGCAATATATAGACGTATTTTGAATGGAATCCAATGATTTGTGAAAAATCAGTGGTCCACTTCAGGAATTTTGACTCTTTCCAATTGTTTCCAACAGTTTGCCACGCGTTCGAAAGCAATATCGTAACTCATTTGTACAATAATACATTATTAATGAAACTTCAAACTAAACCTTAATACAAATTAAGCGTAGGACACGGATCACACGCGACTGGAAAAAATACAAAAAATAAAACTAGCACACACCTACAACGCATCGAAATCTAATCAACCGAGTGTCAAACCTGCATATTAGACTGATGCAAATTTTGACATTTTCGCTCCACAGTGCTCAAACGGTTCCAAATCGGGTCCTGATTAGTCTCCCAAAATTTGAACTCATTTGAAAATAAACTGACTTGGCACAAACCATTTGAAGTTTATATGGAAATTACTATGGGAAATCCAAACTTTTTGTTCATTGTCTTCTTACCTTTTTCCATATGGCACTGTTCAAAAATTCAAAAGCTATACTTATGGAGAATTTTCTCAGCTTCAACTTAGCAGAATGTAGTTGTTGAGCCAAACGTCAAATAAAATAGTTATTAATTGTTTAAGAGATTGATAATCCTATGGCATGATCAAGCAGCTGT